CAATACTAGAAATGGAGAAACAAACAGATGTAGTAATATAGTTTGGATCTGTGTCCCCACCCAAATCTCCTGTTGAATTGTCATCCCCAATGTTGGAGGTGGGGCCTGGTGGGAGATGAATGGATCATGGGGTGGATCCTTCATGAGTAGTTTCGCACCATCTCCTCAGTGCTGCTCCCGTGATAGACAGTGAATGAGCTGCTGTGAGATCTGGTCATTTGAAAGCACGTAGCACCTCCCTGTCTCCCTCCTGCTCTGGACATGCTAAGACATGCCTGCTCCCTCCTCACCTTCCGCCATGAGTTAAAGCTTCCTGAGGCCTCCCCAGAAGCAGATGCTGCCCGGCTTCCTGTACGGTCTGCAGAACTGTGAGCCAATTAACCCTCTTCTTTATAAATTACCCAGTCTCAGGTATTTTTTTATAGCCATGCAAGAAATTACTACCAATACAAGTAGTAATTACACTAGGCAAAATCCAAAAAGTTATTTTACCCATATTTGCAAGAATAAAAGAGAGAGAGAGGATATGTAAATGAATAAGGGAAGAGAAGGAAAGTGTTGGAGGCAGGAATTAAAAGGGCTATTTTTATATTGCCCTTCATCACATAATGAAGGGTAAGAACCCTCAAATTCACGCTGAACTCAATGAGACCGGCAGCAAGTGATCGCAGTGGGAGGTGAGAGATGCTCTTTCTGTGCTGAGCTTTCCCGGCATCTACTGTGCAGGTGATTCAGGATGTGGGACACAAAAAGAATCGAGAATGCCTGCGTCTATGCCACTTGCAGTCCAGTTACAAAAATGTCCAAGAAAAAACTTCCTGCTAGGCACAAACACTTAAGATTCCTTCCCAAGTATACACACGCAGCAGAAAGATTTTCAACTTCCCTAGTAAACATATAAAAATCCCATAAAGCACGGTGACTGAAGATGGCATCATAGTTAAGACCACGGTTCCCAGTTGCCATTTATTAGCCAAATTCTTGACGTTCCTAAGTCTCAGTTTCTTCATCGGCACAAGAGGGAGAGTAAACAGCAGCTCACTTATAGGACTGTTAGCATTAAATAAGATTAATATGCAAAAAGCAGCTTAGCACGTGACTAGAATGTGGAACTCCCTCAATGAACATTCAGAAAAAAAGGAAAAATCCTGGTTTGGGCTTTAACACCTGTTATAACTTAATTTAATGTGACATAACTGAAATAGCAGGAAAGGTCAATGCTGAACAGACAGTAACCAGCTGCAAAGCCCTCAGATGAGGAAAACCAGGGTAGAATTCCCCTTCATCAGTGGAAGGGCGGCCTGGGCCTGGAGATGCCACAGGGACCTCATCACAACACAGAAAACTGCCAAGAAAATGTAACGTGAAGTGCCCCCAAAAATCACACTTTAAAAAGCCAGAACAAAGCAACGTTACTGAAATCAACGCTGTCCTGAGCAAGAGTGCTTTTGCATCTATGTGTGGTTAACAGCCCACTCGCCACTGATTCTGACTTGGGGATTCAACTATATGGCCGCTGAAACACACCCAAGTCCTCAAGTCCCTAATGCTCCAATCTAGTTCAAATTTTGCTATAAGTCTTCCCTTTTTCTTTGAGGAAAATAAGTAGGGTGTGATCTTTTTACCCATTAACTCACAAACCATATTAAAGCATTACATGCCTAAAAAGCAGCTGTAATCATCGAGCTTCCCCACAAGCAGGACTGAATCATGATAAATCATAACGACGACAACTAGCGCTCATGAAGGACACATACCAGCTCCACGTCAGATGGGACGCTCAATCCTAAGGGGGCAACGAAGGGCTCTTCGTTTTCCTCTAAATTTTCAGCCTCATTTTTTTCTGCATAAAAAGAAAATTTAAAAATTCAGAACAATGCAGGGAGGAAGGGACCTGCAGCAAGACGGAAGCATGTGACTGGCTGTTCCTGCTTCTTTACCTTCTGTTTTATTTCTAGAAGCCAGTTTCAGCTTTCTCTTCTACCTACAACGCAAGTGAAACTCACTTTACAAAATTCCCAATGAGGCGGGGCGGGGGGTGGCAGGGGCGGTTGCGGCAGGGAGGTGTGGTGCAGCAGAAGGAGTGTGTCTAGGGTCAGACTGCACGGCATTCCCTTGGTATACACAGGGTTCTAGGACCCCTGCGGACACCAAAATCCACATGTGCTCGAATTCCGCTTTTGGTCCATTTGAACCCACATATACAAAGAAGCTGACCCTCCATATATGCGGGTCTCACATCCCTCAATCTGATCCCTGTATGGCTGAAAAAAATCCTCATATAAGCGGACCTATGCAGTTCAAACCTGTGTTGTTCAAGGGTAACTGTAGTTAAACTCCTGCCCTGCCACTTGTTAGCCCCAGGATTCTGCTGTTCTCTGTTTCATCACAGGCTGTGAAGTCATCGCATCTACTCCCAGGGCCAAGTGGGGCTCAGGTGAGATAGCCCACCTGAACATCTCTACCATAATCTTCCGCACTTAGCAGATGCTCAGTCCATGTTCCTTTTCCCCTCCGCATCTCTTTCAGGTATGTAGGTAAGTATTTCACTGGTATCGCTAAGATTTTTCTCCAACTATTTCTGTGGATTCCTGACAGCATGACACAACACAAGGTAATCAATTCCTAGATAAATGATTTTCATCTTTGAATTGTAAACTACCTGGGTATAACTGTCAAGATTCCTCTACCCAAGCAAATTACCTCTTTCACAAATAATCAATTATTTTTCCATTTCTGTTTATTCATTAACCATTCACTTAACAAGTATTTGCCTACTATGTGGTAGACAAGGTACTACACATTATCTTTCTGTATTCTAAGGTATCTAAGTACATCTCAATAACTCAGATGATTACCAGTTTAAAAAGACACACTGAAATGTACAAAAATACCACAGCAAACTTTAAAAAGCTAACTTTTTTAAGGATTTCAATGATCTATTGAGGTTCTTATTTAAAAACAGATGACATTAAAGAAGCAAACCTTAAATCTTCATGAAAATAAATGTTTCTATCATACACAGTAAAGGCTCTTGAAGCGATCAATAATTTGCAAAGATCTCCTGTCAAGCCTCATTCTGTGAAACCAAGGAGGAATTTTAAGCAGGTTTCCTGGTATATAAAAACTTGGGTATTCTAGTCTGATCAGATACAAGTTGATTACAATCCCTATTAAGTTACAGTTATTTAACACTGTCCCATCCATTTCTGTTTGAGTCCCCTGTTCTTTCAAAAATCAGAGACAAAGCTGGGTGCAGTGGCTTACACCTGTAATCCCAGCACTCTGGGAGGCCGAGACAGGTAGATCACCTCAGGTCAGGAGTTCAAAACCAGGCTGGCCAACATGGTGAAACCCAGTCTCTACTAAAAATACAAAAAATTAGCCCGGCATGGTGGCACACACCTGTAATCCCAGCTACTTGGGAGGCTGAGGCAGGAGAACTGCTTGAACCCAGGAGGCAGA